GGGGTAAATGGTTTGTTGCACGAAAGGGGACGAGGGCTGCCATGGCGATAAAAGTTGGCTATGATTATTTATTTTTGGTTTCCAAAGGTTTCACCCTCCCCCATGGCAGTGTTACTGACTGAAGTGTCTTTAGGCCATATGCATTGTAGAATTGTAAATGGGCTGATTTATCAATGCGGTGCTCAAACTGAGTCGGAACAATAATATAGGGGGATTTGTTGCTTTTTCTTTCCTCATCTTTACTATCGTCATTTTGTCTTCCACTTCTGTTGTATGTTTGTCACTCTCTTGTGAACTGCTATTTCCGGGGTGCCTTGATAGTCGAAGCAGACTTGAATGCTGTTGAGACAAGAGAGGTGAGCAGAGTAAGCCTGATTCCCCGTTTGGATTCCTCTGTTAACACCACCCCTTGGAGCTCATATGACCTTATACAGTTGCGAGCACCGTAAAATCTTACTAAAACAAAACATTCTAAGTCCCATGACAAAAAACCCAAAAGATTTCTTCAATTCTTTGTAAGTACCCAACTGGAGCTAATCTTTTCACTATTACGGAGGTAATCTTTCAAGCTATTCGAGCGAAACGTTATTTTATATTATGTCTATCCAATTACTACCCTTATCTTATCTTGATTTATCTTATCTTGCCATATCTTCTTTTAAATTCGTAGACTCAGAGATAAAGGAGAGCCAATGGATAAGACTAGAAGTGTCCTAGGAGCTGAAGGGACCCCAGCAGTCATAAATTTATTTATCTATAAGAAAAAAAGTCGCTTTAAAGTTTGTTTATGCGGATGAATCGGGAACGGCATGCATGAACAATGAGCAGAGATTGAGGTCGTGGAATTAACAACGGTTGAACTGTACACCTTTCACAAATGATTTGTGTTGATACTTAAAACTTATGCTCAAGAGCGAAGGAAACATGGATACACATAAACGTTCAACAAACAGCGAGACCTGATTTTCTTTCTTTGTGTTTGTTACTTTGTGACTTAGTCTACTTAGGCAGAATTCAAAGTATTTAGCAAACATATCCGTACACTCACAATGTCCCACAAATAGACGAGCTGTTTACTTTATTCGCGTTTGTACTTTCGTTTTACATGCTTCTTTTCCTCATAACACGATAATATTATGTTACAGAACATCACCAACTACTGTGGCGACAGAAAAGATTCGTTTCTGAATGCCACTAAATGTATGAGGGACGCTGTAACGATGTGTTCTCCAAACAGTGAGTACCTCTTACCAGTTTCTAATTTAGATAATGTTCGCTGCAACTACAACTCCAAAGGCAAAATTAATTTACAAACAATACATAATTTCCACTTTATTGAATACATGTCGGAAAATTTGGATTGCCACGGCACACGACATATTTGTACATATACATAACCACAAATACCCATACTTAAACACACAAATTTTCGTACATAGAATATTTTATCAAAATTACCAAACACAATAGTATACTAAACATACAATTTTTACGCTTGATATCACTATAAGCCTGAATTCTGAATTCACCTACCATTTGGCCAGTGAACCAGGGATTTGCCCCCCCCTCCCTAAAAAAACCCGAACAACAACAACAACCAAAAACAAACAAAAAAATGTACGTCTAAAACAACTGAACAAACCATTGACCAGAACGCTGGATCCAGGTGGGAAATTTCTCAAAGAATGTTTTCCTGTTGGCTTTGTGTCCTGTCGAGGGATTTACAGCTGTATGTACAATGACAAATATGTATTCGAACCATATTTTGTCAACAATTTCAATCCTGGTTTTTACATTATCTAACTGTAGTATAGTTTATAGCTGTTGAATTGTGTTGTTTGCCCAACCCAGGAACTGGCGTGTTTTCTTCACACTTTGCACTTTATTGGAATCAAAATTTCTCCATGGGGCCAAAGAAGAGAAGATCTTCTTTCTCATTCTACGTCCCATTTGAACGTATTTGTCACCATTTCTGTATTGACACATAAGGACAAACGTATCAGTGTTCTGTTTTCTGTTTTCTCAGATCTTATAGCTTCTCTAGAAGTCGATTACTCGAAATACATGGATGGACTGTGTAATGACAAAAACATCAAACTTGAATGCCTGTCTGTCGTATCAAAGCCAGGAATGGAAGATGCATTTAACAAATGTTTCTCGGTCAAAATTGCTCAACAGGGCAATTCGACCACGGTAAGTCGCACAATTAGAAGGCTCTTGCTGCACAATTAGAAAGCACTTGTGGCAAAGTATAAAAAAACTGGAACAAGTACAAGGTTTAAATATAAGCGGTACGGTTCCTTGTCCACCTTGGTACATTCCAACGCCTACCTACCCCAAACCAATGTCTCGTCTCGTTTCCTGATTCAGGACGAA